CCATAACCTAATTGAGACAATGAAAATAGCGTCATCTATTCATGACTGTTCAATTTGTTTGCTGTAAAAAGAGCATTGTTTACATTTTAAGTTGTACGCTTTAATCAGTGTACCAGATAGCAATTCGATATAAAGACTTCAGATAACTGATGTTGAATGTTGTCAGTTTAAGGAAGGTATTCATTATGGGGGTATGGTGAATGTCCAACAATATCTCTGCTTGTAGATGTTTCAGTTTCTCATCGTAGAGCAGAAATATACTAATTTTCGATTTTCCGGTAGCTGTTCCCACCGATTCACAACAAAGCGTTTATGTCGTGGATACGCTACTTCCGTTTGTCGGAGCGCATTGCTATAAAGGAAAATATTGTGATTGATCGGGTTGAATATTGAAAAGAAATTCGTCGAAGGAATTAGTGTGCGATTTTTGGTGGAGACCATTGGTTTGTCCTTAGCATGGTACTAACTTTTTGCTTGGTGTTTACAAACTTTGGGTCGATACAATCATGAGATGGGAGGCATTCAAAGGATGATGTGTGATCTGTGCTTGAGAACGAGAATGACCATTTTGAAACCACCTGTCAGTGTTAATCTATTTTTCGCATTCACTTTTACATGTTTAAACTGTATTTACTAGGGTAGTATGTGAATTTTTTCGCAGATATGCTGCAAAAGCATATTGCAACGCATAATTTCATGGAGATTTCAAGATGGACATGTTTTTGTTATATTGTAATTGTTGATCACCACCTGCTCCATCTCGCTATGTTCCTGAGAACGAACCATCCCGAACGAAATGGCGACTTCCTCTGCGAGTGTAACGCCCTCTAACTGCTGCTTTAATGATTGATCTACCATCTATGAGTTCACTGGCGAGAGCTGAACGGAGGTACATACAAAGGTGGGTACGAAGAGCCGCTGGATAAATCCGGTGAGGCCCTAGTGGCCCATTGGACTTGGCCAACACACCCCACCCATCCTACTACCCAGCTTACCTTTCTATCAAAAGCCTCCTCTCTTTGACCGTCTACTGCAGCCGCTCTCTCTCGTCTGGTGGGGCCCTGTGGGGTCGACGCACCTTGGCTCAGCTGGTCTATCTACAATATCCAGGCCCGTTTCTTGCTGCAAAAAACGACGCATGCGCATTAAACGCTAAGGGCCTAGGTGACAGTATTTATGGCTGATGTAACGGAGTCACGCGCGGTCACCGTCCTGCCAACCGCGGGGTGGGGTACGTAGCCTCTACTACGTTCATTGAGAAAGTCTAGCAAAGCTGCTGACGTCATGACCACAGTTGTAGGCGCTGGTTCCTGTGAAGGAAGAGAGCCTTACTTGCCAGCTAACTGGCACAGCACGAAAGCTGAAATATGCGATGCGCCCACACGATCTACTCGTATCGCTGATAGGTCGTTGAAAAACGAAAATTAGAAGCATACGTCGCACGATACATGTAGAGAACATGCGTAGCTAAATGAACCATCATCACATCATGTTTCGTAGTAAATTCATCATTTCGTTCAAAATTCCAAGGAACAACATATCCAATTTAGTTATTAAGACAGTTTTCAGTTGCAGTTATGCTATAAAAATGCTTTCGTTCTAATGCGTTTTGCCCACTCTAGCATGAAGACCGACAAATATGTTGACTTCACCGTGTCAGTACTTTGGGTCGCCTTCGCAAACCTGCTCCACCTGGTGTTGGAACGTCGTTCTCTGTCAGGAAACTGCGAATTATAGATTTAGTGACGTTGCTAGACGGCAAGTAGACTCGCAAAACAAAAAATAGATCCAGCAACGCGCACTTAATTAGACTCACATATACAGGGACTCATGCACACGCAGGGCTCGTAGTTGCGGAGCTTTGAGGCGCATGCCCAGACGGGCTCATCTCTCCCTCCGACCTAGAATGGGGTCTTAGCCAGTGCAACCCAGGCCTACTGGGCTCGTTGGACTGCCCTGAGAAGGGAAGCAGGACTGCCCTGAGATAGCCACTTACAAGTAAATTCCGAAGTCTTAATAAGCATGCTGGTTTGAGGCTTTGAAAAACAAAATGTGGCCTCCTTAGAACATTTAACTAACTATTACGACGTGCGTGTAATAATGGCTTATTAATTAGGTGCACACGTCATTCACTTCAAACCTGTATTTGATGATTTTTCGGTTTGCCCTATGACGATGGTCAATATTGAATATGTTTTGATTTTAACTATTGCAGTCGACGCAGTTATTGATGTCAACGACGCCGGTTGCAAATGCCACGGAGACGAGCTACAAAATGTAATTTTAACATGGCCTGTTTGTTTGATAAAATATAAAAGACCACTTTACTCACTTTGCTTGTATTGAGATGACACAACTATTTCAACTTTGGTGTCACCGCCACTAACTTCGTTACACGATTCACTTAAACGACAAAATTTGGAAAACATGGAGCAGTGACACATATCGACGAAAACCGATATGAATGTTATGGAAAACGACACGAAAGGGTCGAGCAGGTGAAGTGTCAAAGCAAACAACGTCAAAGTTAAAGGAACCCCATTAACTCTTGTCAAACAACTCGCCTTCAATTCGATTCATCTCGAAAATGAAGGGGAAAATGAAATTATAATTAGAATTTGGATGAATCTACATGGTTTGCGTATTACTGTATCATTCGGGAGTCCATTTAGATGGCAGTTGCAATTTATTGAGCCTCAATAATGCGTAACTACACCCCAAGTCTAGCTTTGAATCTTTATTGGTTGAAGATTCAAATGACGATGAATGACGGAGAAGATTGCGCTTCCACCACTCTTAACTGACATAAAGATATTTTTCGTGATGCCTTTTTCACTCTATGTACTTTACTATATCGTATCTATTTAATGAACGGTATCGCTGATAAGTATGTCAGCTATGCTACCAACCTTCGAATCCTGATAACTTCTATTGGTTCTCCTCAGTTGTTGGATCCCTGTCGGGTTGTGTGTATCGCCTCTGCTTTCTTAGCAAACAACTTCTAGACGCTGGAAGCTTTGGCGCGCGTTTGACGCAAAGAACGAACTCGCAGTCGCTGATCTCGACCGACAGACTTGTAGGCATGGCTGAGTGTGACACTGTGCTTCTCCTCGTCAAGGAGTGCTTCTCCGACGCATTTTGCCGCCGCTTGTTGCTCGGGTTAGATAGCCGGCTGGGACAAAATATTCAACGGGTCGCTAGCAGCTCCCTTTCAACGAGACAGATCTGGCCCCTTAGTCGCTCCGGCGCACACTGAGCCACAAGGGGGCCCACAGCTCACGAGACGATCGCCTATTTTGCCAGCCACATTAGGATCTACGCGATGATAGCGACAAATCTCCAACCAGAACGGTCTCCAGTTTGCTTACTGACAAAGCCGCCAAGGGGTCCGACGGCGATTCCGTTAGCATAGCGCAAACCATATTCACCAATTCATATATTATAGTTACACTACGGGCACCAGGCACCAAGAAGCGAAAAGCGCTACTGGGGCACCAGGCGCTGAATATGAACCGATAGTCGGTGAAGATGATCATTGTTAAGTCCATGGAAAAACGACTGTACCAGAACAAAAAGAAGAAGCTGAACGGAGGAAACAATCAAATAGAGACCATGTGCATGTAAATAGCGGTGAATAAGACGATACTTTTTCGCTTGAAAGGGATGCTGACTAAGTCACCAAAAGCACACCATATGTAGCCGCCATCGATCTCTTCTAGGCATTTGGTGGAACATCCCAAAGGCATCATGACCAGCTGGCCTGATAATTTTCCATTACTAGCACACTCGTTGAAGCTATGATATGACTTACTAGAAGCCCGAAACTCGCATTCGGGTTCTAGCCACTTTCATTTCTTGACTTCGTTTTATATGCTTTGCGCTTGCTACAACTTTAATCATATTTTAGAACATTTGTCGAATCCAACGACGTCAGATTATTAATAGGCTTACAAGGTTTTAGCAATGTAGTTATCAGTGTACAGTAAGCAGCGTGACGAATATTTATTACATTATCATGTACAAGTAATGTTATTTTGATTTTCCTCTGACCTTAAACTCATGGACAACTCTCCGCCGGAAGTGTATCATTTAATTTTTCACGTCGGACCATTTCCAACGCCATTCTCGCCACCGTCCCTTCATTAAACAGGCTATTATCAAATTATTACAATCTATCTATTAGACGTGTCAAAGTTTCCCTTATATCTAGTAACAAACTTCTGAACGAAATTTAGAGACAATGAATGAATGAAGATTGACAATAACGACCAACTTATCCGAAATCGAGTGCACTACATGAACGCTTGTATCATTCAAATTATATTTATTAACCTGTGCGTGAGAGCATTTAGACAGAGATAAGAATTTTATTGGACAGAAAGTGGTCCCTATCATTACTCGAGGGAGCGTATAGCTTTAAATTATCGGTGTAGGGCTTGTGCCGCACCTCGGCTGGAGGAACATCGTTTATGTCGACAATAAAAATACAAAGTAGAAGAAAGAAAAAAAGCCAAAACAAGAACTTTAAAGTGCAACCGAGTACATGTTTCCCTAAAGCTGACATTGTCATGAGTCACCGGCCATCGAACGTTCGATTTGTCAGACAGCTTCTTACCTAGTTTATGGAGCGAAGTATCACCAAATAACAACATTTCGATCATAGCGAAGAGTCTCAGTTCTTCGAACTCATTTGGATGTATTCCTTTGGATTGTGCCCTTGCTAATTAAATAAGCTAATTACATAATTAAACTGATAGGTTTAGTAACAAAAACGTATCCACTAACGTCGGTATGGACATTTTTCGAGAGAGCGCGAGAGCGAGAGCGAGAGGGAGAGGGAGATGGGAGATGGGGGCGAGGGGGAGAGGGGGGGAGAGAGATGAATAATCGAACCGAATCCCGAAGTTGAAGTCCGAATAACTAACTAACTCAAGTTACGCTGTTCATTGAAATCACTGTGTAGAGTAATGCTCTGCGAAATTAAAAAACACACCGTCAAATATCGTATAGTCAACATAATATATTTTTATTTTGAAGTAATTTTGCGATATGTTCAAGTTAGGTCGTTGTATTTAAGTTGATTATGTATTATAATTGATTCACTTCCTTGCTCAACATCATCACCTAGATATATCGTCAGCTTCACTATGGTTTACTATTACGTGTTCGAGCAGTACAAAGGTTGTAGACATCCCTTAATAATCCGTTATCTATTTCTCACCTTTAAATCCTATTACAGGTAACAAAATACTTTTCCACCTTTTTTTTGGTCTCGTTCTCTGCCCGTTTTCCAGTCTATTATTCTATTGTCTTTCTTTAGAACAACTATGTCAATTACTGACCGTACGTTAAAACGCGACTTCTTATTTTTACCAAAATGGAACCATCATCCCCGTCACTCTACAACCGATCACTTTTCCATATGGTGCACCTTATTTCATTTTAATTAATGTTCTCTCCTCTTTTTTTTTCTGTATTTACAAACTACATCGATTCATCTCAGCTTATCTACTCTGCCCACAAAAACGTACTCTTTCGCTTTGAAATAGGCCATCGATTCCCTATGCCTTTTCGTCCATTTTTTAGAACTAAACACACGCACACACACGCTTACACACACACACACACACATACACACACGCCCACCACCTTCATTTGCAACATTAACTATAATGTCACAACAGTTGTATGGATGGTAACCCGTCTGAGAAATGCGGCGGATTAATGTGATTTTGTCCAAATACACCGACGACATGAGTCAGTCAGGTAAGTCCGAATTCGTCTATGACAGGTCATCGGTCGGCAATGGAGACGTCGCAAAACTATGGCTTCATTTGGCAATATATTTATAATGGGGTCCGTCGAATTTTATAAACTACGACTTCGATTCAATCAAAGATTGTATTTCTCGTCCTAGTTTGATATCAATGTCAATGTCAGTTGTACGCACATATTCGTTATCCTGTCTTATTTATCGCTTCCTCACGTTTGACGCGCCGTGCCTCCTTCGGGACGATGTTCGATGGATTGTTCCGGTTGATCCCCCACAGGTAAACCAGTTGGAAATATAAGTTATATTACCAGTTATTTTTGCTAGCCCATATCATCGTTGCATCAACAGTAAATTTTCAACTAGCAATACCGTTATTACTCAAATAACTAGTACCGTGCCATTTTAGTACTAGCTTAATCTTCCTGCCAGCGAACGAATCCAGGGACAGATTGCGTTGTTGCCAGCTCTTCTGTGCTGTTAATTAGAGTTCATCTCAAGTTAGATCAAATCTTAAATTAAGGTAGCTTAGAAACGGTGTGAGTTTCCGAATCCCCAACTTCTTCATCTACCAAAATTGATTTCGAACATATTCATCGCATTGAACGTGACGACTTTTTGTCGGGTCAATCGTCACTTTATATAAACATCAGTTTAGTATCTCCTTCTTGCCAAGGAAGTGATTTGTTTTATGCCGCTAGGGCCATTTTTACTTAATCATAAGTTAAATAAACGGTAAACGCCGATCCGAACCTGTATAAGACGATTGCAAAAGTATACTGTTTTTGTCAAGCTACACCATATATATATATATATATATTCCCCAAAGATACATTTGGTTCGGTTATCGATGAAGTATAATTTCTGAGCCAACTGAAGACTGATTAATTCGCTGATCATCGTTAAATAGACCAGAGCGAAGTATGAAAAACAGGGATCCTAAGCCAACAAGGTCAAGGGAAACAAGGAGAATGGAAGGAGGAGAACTACTTTTCTGTGCTTCGTCCTTAGAAAAAAACGCTTTCGGAGATGGCCGGCTCGCAAGAGTTATACCGATGAACGCGAAAAAAGAGCACCTCTTTTTCAAGCCTTTAGTTCACAGTAGCTTGCAGTGGTTCGCACCGGCTGGCTTTTGGTTGTGCCATAGGGTCGGGCCAGCTGGACGACTGTTTGGGGAAGGGGCCGACGTAGCTATTTTTGGATTGGGTTTTAGTCAGACCGTTTACCGTGTCGCCCGTCGATAACATTCGGCACCATCGAGTGCAGCAACGACTGACTACAAGGCGGCAGAGGCAGCAACAGCAACTGGATCAGCGACCTAGCTCCGCAGGCCGGCCAGCAGCGGACCATAGATATATTGGGGCGGAAGTGTATTATTGTACAGTGCAAGCTAAGCCCAACTAGGCGCAGCTCACGCGAAGCTGCGTCGTACAACTATGTCAATCTGTGGGAAAGGACAAAGACAAGCAGAAAAGGAAGCAGAACGAGAGCCAGCAAACGCTTCAACAAAGAACCAGCGCGTCGAAATAAGCTCAAAGTAGGCTAACAGCAGCGGACGCTATGAGAAGAAGCCATCACGGCGTTGATTTACTGCACGACGTCATTTAGTAGACTCTAACAAATACGTAAAAGTGTGCTGATTAACAACGTAGGCAAGTAGTAGGGGCACAATTGTAATCGACTTTCTCTACAAGTGCAGTATTGATATATTATTAGTTCGATCGACAAAACAGTAGAACAAAAAAGGGTGCCCTAAGAACCGCTTATGTTAGCGTAATAGTGTACCAATGTATTCACTCTCTCTCACACGCTCCCCTTTCTCGCTCTATGTAACTAATGATGTCTGCCTATCGTCATGTATCAAATCTCAATACGATGATCCATATTGATCGTTCACCTTCACATACAACCCGCACAATTATCAGCACTTGCTTATCCCATACAAACATACAGAACTACAGATACGCACGGATCATCTCTCAATACACATACGCACGAGCGCGAGACTTTAAACATTATCATTAATAATCGCTTAATAAGCATAGTTGTTTTTTGCTTCTGCTAGTATCAAAAATAGGAATTGTACTTTTTCGTCATTCTAATTTTACATGGTAATCGATGATAGAATGGGGCTGTTTGTTCCTTGATGAGGTGATCCTTCAATGCTGCGGTTGATCTAGTCTGAGCCAGCTAAATATTAACAGAAGCCACCCTTCACGCTATGTTTCGTACTGGTGAGCTTGGATAATTGTATTAACGTATGAATCACGTTCGGGCTCATATACACACAGCCTCGGCTTGCCGATCGGCGTCACTTTAGAATCGCACGTGATGACCGTTGTTGGTACTGATACTTTTATTCGTGGAAGTCGGGGAATCGCGTTAATGTTTGCTCGAATCGTATCGATCGCGGCAGTCGTTGTAGCACATAGTCTATTGCCGCAATAATGTCACCCGGCAGAAAAATATGCTCATTTGTGTGAATGTTTTGATTGGTCCTTTTCATCAGGCCTGTTCATATAGCTAGAAGTGAATGTTACGCGACCCCAATTTCTAGATGACACACGGCGGTTTACCGAACGGTTTGCGTAAATATGATCCGTCATGATTCAACACACGAGCCAGGCACATGAGAGAGGTGTCAAGTCAGATTGAACTGTACGCAGGTAGTAACTGTGCTTGTCGAAGGAATTTGTTTGACCTCTGCTTATTTTTTTTGTAGATTATTCGACAGCTGTGGCGCTTCCTTTGTTTCTGCTGTAGTTGTTAATAGTAGTAGCAGCAAATCTAGTAGTAATAGCAGTAGAAATGTTGAGTCAGTTAGTTCAGACCGAGGAGGAAGAAAAAGCCGGTGCTGAGGGTCGAGTAGTATTGAGAGACGCCGTCGACGACTTCCTCGACCCAGACAGTGACGACTCGTAAGTGGTCATGGCACACGACTCTTCAGAAGTGACGTCTTCAGTGGCTTGCAGTAGTCATTCCTTGCTATCCTTCGTAAACTCTTTCTGGGCCTCTTGGTGCTGCTCCAGAAGCTGCCTCGTGAAGCTATCGTACGAGACTGCGTCGAGGTTCTTCGATAACAAGCTGAGCAGGAACCAGTCACCGACGTCCCAAGTTTCGCTCAGCGATTTGAGAGCCTCGACTTGGGTCCCTCGCGCGCTCGTGGCCAGCACGTGGTAGCGCGCTTCTCTAATGAACACGATCACTGCACGGTAAATGATAGTCAGGCCTGACACGATAGCCAGCACGACGAACCAGAACCACATGAACACGTAGATCTTTTCGTTGATAATGTTAATAGGCAGGATGCACATCGCATCATGCTTCTGAACATCACCTGACGAACCATACATGTGGAACGTACACTTGGTCAGACGGGGGAACACCTTGACCATCGGATCAAAGCGGACGGCTGGGTCCCATTCGGTGAACTGAAACACCTTCGACCCGTACGTTGAGAACTCGCCACCGAGGAAGCTATCTACCAAGTAGATCTGGCCAACAACATTGATGAAGTTAAGGAACTCACATAGGAAGAAGTAGAACACGTACGTCTGATGGTGTCCGCGATTGTCCTTAAAATACTGGCACAGAATATGAATGCTCTTTTTGCGTTTATCGTCATTCAAGATCGGATTGTTCAAGTCCAGTATAAGATTTTCAACTCTGCGACCTTCAGCGGCTTTCCATAGATAGCGCGGTATGTAAAACAGACAAGCCTGAAAGAACAGCACGAAACATACCCACTGATAGTAGGCATGGTAAACTCGTTCCTCGCCAGGAGTGTACTTATCTACGCCCGGGTACGGTACTTGCACACCGACTTTCTTATGCCAAGCGCTTTTTATACTAAACGTTGAATGAATCCAACAGAAGCTATCAAGAACCTTTGTTGGCACCGCGTCCTTCGTGATGCAATCGATGGGGTCTCCGATGTACTGTCTCGACGTGACGAGAATCGAGAAGCCCATCAACAAAGCCACAGTCACTTTATAGTGCAGTCGAAACACATGGTTGTCGATGTTGACTTTATTGAGCTTGATAAAACCCTTCAGTCCGCTAAAAATCTTATCCATCCTACTGCCGATTCAACTCCAACTGCTCGCTAGGGCACCTTACCAAACGGTACTGGCCTAAAGTAGCAGTACTAGTAGCCTTTCGTAATGGCAAAACATGAAAGCAAAAAATGCTGATTTCACACAACGCCGATGTACAATTTAGACGACTTCACCTTACACTTCATTGGCTGCTCTTGCTTGCTCATGAGACACCATGCATGCATGCACGCACACATACACACACTCTTCGTTGTGCTGCTCGGTCAGATGTGGTCTGATCTGTTATGTGGGTTGGTATCGCCGCTCGCGCTGTCAAAAGCCCGCCACGAAACCGGGCGAGGGATAACACTCTAGCCGGCGCTGGACCAATAAACTGGCTGGGAACAAGTCAGCGTCGAGAGGAGGATCGGTTAGTGAGAGGGCGCTGGTGTCGAATATCCCCCCACCCAATATGGTGTGGTGGGGAGGAGAGCAGGGGCTATGGTGGGGTCGAACACTGAAATAGCTGTAGCGACAACGTTTTGTCGCATAGACTGTTGAGAAGCATCAGGGAACAGTGTTCCAGCGGTGTGAAAGACGGCAACAACAAGATCGAGTGTAGAAAGAAATTAGCAAAAGTCGGATTTTATTTGTTTATGATGGAGCTGGCTTTAACGAGCTTTCGATATGAACGCGCGTGTTTGGCCTTGCCAATCGGGCGCCTTACAGATAGCGTATCTATTGTGTACCAATGGCAATATTTTCAAATAGAAAAATGAGTAGCCAGAACCGGATGAATCGGTATAGTTTTTTGAAATACTTTTCGATTATACACATTGTACCGTTGATACATTGTAGAAAATCCAGTTTTCATGCCATTTTCAAACAACCATCAACTTCTAGCTAAACGTAACGGTTGGCTATGGATCAGCATACTTGGCGATCACTGATGAGTGCAGCTGCGGACGACGGGAGATTGTTGCGGGATCCAATTAGTGGGCTGAAACTCGTGCAGATGGTGAGCTCATTGAATTCGCCGAGCCAGAGTGTCGATACTACTTCTGTCGCGGACAGAAGGTGCCGCTCATCCTTGTAGATAGCCTATGGCTGGCTAGCCAGGCATCCTAGTGCCAAGCTGAGATGGGTCTAACGGTGTGGCGTCGCTGAACAATAACTAGCACAACAAGCCGGCCTAACTTTAGCAGGACCTCAAACGAAAGCGACTTAGCTAATGGCGACCAACTGTATATATTTCTCGTGGGGTAAAGACGGGCTTGCGGTCGTTGATAGTAAAATCGGATTGAGTTGGTCGCAACTCCAGCGAAATAGACCGGCAGAGCCGCAAACCTCCTCTTTAGACGCTGTCTTGAAATAGAAGAATACCAGTACGGATCACTGGTGTCGCTAGTGCAAATGCTGGGTTTTCTGGGTGACAATTTTTGCTGGGCTCGATAACCGCAAAAGGAATACAATTGTATTGTATCAGGTACAAAACCCCGATACGCAGGTAATGGGAAAGTTGGCCGTGCAGGTTGTCTTAAGTATAATGGCAACATACTTTGAACCGATTTCTTTAAACTCTGTCGAAGGTAAACGACCTTGACGATACTCGCCGTACAAGATCTGAATAAGATCATGACCTTACGCGACTTTGTGTTGACGCGAAAGTAGGATTTCGTCGCGCATTGTACATAAACCTGCAACCTATCAATTTTTGCCTGCTTCAGCAACCTTCAAATTAAAACCAGTTTTTTAAAGTCACATGCAATACAACGTACAAAAATCTAACATGAAAATGGCACATATTTAAAAAAAAAAACTATTTAAAAATTTAGCACTATTCAAAAAAAAGACTTTTAATAGCTTCTTATTAATCCATTTTAGCTTTTGTGTCTATAGTTCATACATCCAATTTAGCCCAAAAATGATTAATCACCCATTCTGTTACCTAGATTATTAGTTAGTCCTATTAGAGTAAATTTACAGCTGTAAGTACTAGCTTAATGTTTACCTAGGATATCCAGTTATAAGCCTACTATTGAGTCTTCCTACGTTAATATATACGCAATGCATATAGATGGCTTTGACACTAAAAGAACCAGGTTAAATTAGCTAGAGACTAATTTCGGGAAAGATTTGTGTTGATTTTTTCGCTTTTCTGCTCCCCATTTCTATGTAGAAAGGATCGGTAAGAAATCCCCAGGTACAGATTTTCTCATTAATTCAACTAGCAAGGTATCGGAAAACGTTACGAAGGTAAAATGTATAGGTTGCTCCTGTTATTTCGCTTTAACTAGAATTTACGTCGGTATTGAAGTGTAGACTTACTACTATCTATATGTGCTGGCGGTTCGGCTTGCCATGCATATGATTGCCCTTCTCTTACCCATTCTGAGGGGGATATCAAAAGGTTGCGGGCGCACCCCTTACATCGAATAAACGGGGATAGTGCGACATGTTTTCTGTCTTGACCAGATTTCATCGTTGTCATAATAGTTATTTGATACACGCTTTTATAACACTGGAAAACCGTATATAGTTCTACAGTGATTGCCTTAACTGTTAACCGTTTGAGCACAGCCCTTAACGTTCCCTACTGACACGTTTTGTTCGTTATTACTTCAGAGGGATTATCTTAGGCAAAATATCGCATGGCGCGTTGAACGCTGAAATAACATCTCGAATATATGTACGCACTTCATCGCTAGAGTTTTAGTCCTGCCGTGGACTAGGTGCGTGTTTTTCTGCGATAGGCATCCATGAATTTCATTTTCCCTCCCAAATTACGTCGAAAAATCAACCAAAGCAGACAAATAGATAAGTAGATGTGAAATTAACTACAGTACATCATTAGCTGCGTAGTAATTAGTCCACTAAGCACCAAGAGTATTTAGTGGTGCCCGGGCATCTATAGAGGGACTCGTATGACCTCACGTAAATTGCAATTCTTATAAATACATTAAATGGGCACAGGTAAAAAAGTCCCTTGTTTTGCTGGAAACGTAGCATGGATTGTGCCGTCGAAACAACTATATGCTCCAGTGTACTGAATGCCGACGGAACAAGTAGCCCCCCTTTTAGCCGAAGTTGCGACTGTTAGGTAGAATGGCAGCATGTGTTGTACCTAACAACGCCGATCAAAGGGCAATTATAACGGTTTCACTAGGAAATAGGTTTAAAAAATGTCTTGAAAAAGACTAACCCTGAAACTAGACCAAGAGAAGGATCATCCCTTGATCTCGTCTAATGAGGGTTTTATTACTTAATGCATGTATAACCCTGCCAGTTTTATAGCAAATAGTTCACAAAAAAATAGTAGCATATTGTATCAACGATCATTTTAGGCTGATCTGTAAAGCCTTAATTTAGCGGTACTTGAAGTCGATCGGCATCACATTAATAATTATAAAATAAACGTGAAATCAAGCGAACGAAGGTTATCGAGGATCGATTCATAAGAATGACATACTTCTCACTAACTTTCATGATTTCCGTCTGACAGTACATACTAAATAGTAGAATAGGATCCGGATCTGCCAAGTCAGGCGTCTGTATCGCAGACGAGTGCATCCAAGACAACAGCTCGCCATGTCTACGCAGATATGTACCTGTTTGAAAAACGGATGCTTTTTGACAGTGTAGATAAGCCAGGATTCGGTCACGAATATGCTGGAACTGTGATTTTTGCTGGCCCACTGTTCACCGCTCCGTTGTTACTATCAGCCACAGGTCAACGTTGATTATTTAGTCGCCACATACGTTAACCTAGCTGCTACCAGCCTAACCTGCGCAATAATCGCAGCGGATTTTTGCGCCACCGGAGCACATGTAAATAACTTTATTACAATGACGGTTATGCTTATTATGTTACTAGCCGTTGATTATAGCTATCTTTTGAACGGTATAATATTTATAGCAAGTATCTTACACGTTTTTTTTTACAATTGTAACTTTAAAAGCGACAATCGCGCCAGCTTAGAAACGCCGACAACCGCTCGATACGACGTTCGCCAGCCCAGTCAAAATGAGCAGGTGAAAGTGGTCAGATACTACCTTAGCTTACACTCTGTCAAGTTAGGATAAATATGTTTTTTTAATAGTTGTTATCCTATTCGCTCAGAGGCTGCTCTGCTAAATATTAGGCCTTGGTTTACGTAAAACAAGGGCACACCGAACTAACTACAATCGACTACGTTCATTGTTTATATATATGTAAGTGTTGCCGGAATGGCCCCGTGAGATCCAAAGGAAGAGACCGTCGATGCGTCGGCAGACGCGGCGTTAGTATCAGGAGTAACGTCTGGCCATTTTTCTGATTTAATCGCTGTGTGAGCTGCAGTCATTAAGAAGTTCATCCGGGCCCGGCGTTGTAATTCTTTTTTCGGCTATACCGAGCTGGGCCGTAACTAGCAGCTACGCGGACCTAAATAAAGTCGGGCTTCTGTGAAAGGGCTGGTTAGCTCCTGTCTACTGTTTTTCCTTACCAGGTTTTTGCCAAAGCGGTTTAGGATTTTTAGGTATTATAACTTTCCTGTGCAGCTGGTCTTGCGTCCGTGCCTTTTTTCGACATAACTACTATCGAGGATCGTGCTTATCGTAGATTTATCGGGTTTTTATAGCCCACAAAATATCGCTCTTGCCCTGTTAGCTCTTTCGAGAGAAGGATACTACCAATGAAGCCGTCTATTTTTCGGGGTTATTTGAGCGACATTTTGCCTGTGGCTACGTATTTCTGTGGGAATACAAGCAGATAGAGTTACAATATATACATATTTCGATTACTAAACTTCCATAACCATAAGCAAAAAAGGACGAATGACAAGGCTGCTACTAGGCTGGCCTCTTAACAGTATCTCATGTTAGCTTTAGTGACTTCAGATTAACAACGTAAAATAGCAATGGTCAGATTTAACACAGAAAAACACATGCTTGTGGATTTCTTAATTTTTACCTGCGTGATTAAATGAAGCCTATTTTTGTTGATGAATTCAATGTTCTTCGCGCCGGACTCGAAGTATGAGTAAATAGCATCAGCCGTGGCGCTCATATCAGTTACTGTAATATTCTAGACATAACGATAGCTTAACTAGCATGGATAGGTGAATATTTAATGCGGCACACTTAACGCAGCGTGCGCGTTTTCGCCTGGGTTTTTCGTCGCCTGGGACAAATTTCGACTGGGTTTTGTATGGACGAAAATAAAGCTGAATGTTCGTGGTCATTTATACTGGTATTGATATTTCATTGACAGGATTGACCTAGCGAGTTGTGGATCTTGCTGATCGATAATGCACCATGGTTTAGTCTTATATCATATGAGGGACTGATAGGTAGGTCAGCTTAGACAGAAGAT